CATCCATCCATCCATCATCCATCCATCCATCATCCATCCATCATCCATCCATCCATCCATCATCCATCCATCATCCATCCATCCATCCATCCATCCATCATCCATCCATCCATCCATCCATCCATCATCCATCCATCCATCCTTCCATCCCTCCAGCAGCTCTGGGATCAGGTTACAGCAAGCTCCAGGTGTCACTGAAAATTAATTTTCTTCAGGGGGAATGGAATGAACCCCAGCACGTTTTAACCTTTTGCTTTATCACAGAGCAGGACTCAGCCAAGAGACAAATCTCCCACAGTCCATGCTCTGGTGCTCCAGAAGATTGGTGCCTGATAGGACATTCCTCTAATTTAGATGAGATTAGATCCCTCCAATTTTTCTCTATTTCTGCTCACATGCTTTTACCCTTCACAAACATTAAATTTACATAACCATGCGGACATTGACGTCAGCATCAATTCTCACTCTGGGGTTTCCTCAGGGCCATTCGGGTACAAAACACCCCCGAGAGCTGCAGCAGTGGCTTTGAAAAAAAAGGAAAAAAAGATGCTGTGACTTCTTCCCTTTCCAGTTCTAGTGCTGTGGACTGGACACAGATTTATGGTTGGGCTCCAAATCCATTTTAGGGCTGGCAAAGTTGGGATGCTGGCATGCTTGGACACGCTCCGGGGTGAAAAGTTGCATTTTCAGCTGATTAAAAGAGGATTATAATTGCAGTGTAAGACCTGGAACACAGAGAAAAGGCAGTGAGCAGCAGGAATTATGGAATTACCCATGTGAGGGGTTTAAGCATCTCTGGTGTCTCCATCAGGTCTGAATCCAAGCTGCCCCTTCCCCAGGCACGAGGACCAATCCTGCTCTCTTTTATCCATGATTTCCCCAAGCCACGGATCCTCCTGGCTCTTCCACTGGGATGTTGGAAACAGAAAAAGCCTCTGGCACTTTCAAAAATCCAGCACAAACCTTGAGGTCTCCTAGAAAAGGAGTCAGTGTCCGTGCAGGCTCTTTTCCCTGCTCGTGGTGCTGCAGGAGATGCTTTGCTCTGTTCCAGGCTGTATCCAATGGCCTGTTATTAGATTTTCAGTCATATTTTTAGCCACAGGATCAGCCACCAAAAGCTCGGCGTGCAAGGCTGCAAAAGGCCAGCTGAGCGATTTGTTTGAATTAAATTTTCAAAATACTTCAAAATAAATATCTCTGAAATGTGTTTTTATTCAAGAAAGCCAGGCAAAACCCTTCACAGAAGAAATCACCTTAGCCCTGGATACTCATTTTTTGTTCCAGCTTCTGCCTTTGATACAGGACATTTCTGAGGGCACATTATCTATGGCAGAGTACCAAAGGTCACAGCTAAAAACCTTCCCCTCGCTCTCTGACACAAAGGAAATCGTTTGCAGATGTTAATAGGGCATATCCAGAATCCCCGAGTCCCTTTGGATTCTTCCTGCAGTTTATTTGTGTTCCAAAGGCCTCATGGAGCATGTGATTTATGTGTGCACGTGCAAATTGTAAACCCTGTGCTCACATCAGGTGTGCTGCCTTGCAAGGCTTCACCACCACAATAAAGCTGATTTTTCAGGGCTAACTCCCCGTCATGTCCTGCAATATACCTGCAGAAAGATGTTTATCCCTAGGAAAAATTAAATTCCAGGTTAAAAGTGGAGAGCAATGAATGGCCACAAACACTTGTGGAGATGCACAAATCTCAAGGTGAACTTTTGGAACTGATTTTGTCTGTCAAAGGGGCTGACTGGAGCTTCCTGAGGATGTGTAAGGCTTCAGAATGTATAAATATTCTCATGCCTATATGCTCAGTTTGTGCTCAGCAGTCTCATTAAATAGAAAGACAGGCTTAGATAACAATTGCTTCTAAGTTGTTTTGTCTTTTGCACTAAAAATAGAAAGTTTCACAAAACCAGCTAAAAATAGGATGAGGCCAACACAAGCCAAACCTAAAAATAAATCCCATGCAAGCCCAGCTTTTGGCATTTTTGGGAAAGGATGCAGAGGTGACAGAAGATTTTGGGGATGAGTTTGAGAACCGAGGACAGCAGAGCTCTGGCACTGAGGGCATCCCGGGCTCTGGGATGGGCAGCACTGGGAGCACTGGGAAAACTGGGAATGGTCAGGCAGGATGTGGCTGAAAGGGAAAGAGGCTAAAGGGACAAAGAGAAGACCCAGGTGAAAGAGAGAAGGGATTTAAATTCAAAATCAACACAGGACAGTCCTGCTGTCCCGGGCTAAAAGGTCATTCACACTCCCAGGGACTCAATATCGTTAAGAAAACCAGCTAATAAATAAAAAAATAATAAAATTATTATTTATAAAATGATTATGTATAAAATTATTGTTTATAAAATAAAAATATAAAGTGAATAAACCACAGCCACTTTGTCAGAAGCAGGAATTGAGCCCTGCTTTAGTGACTGCACACCAACAGAAATGGCATTTCCAGCAGCCTGTCCCTCTGCACCCCCAGCTCACCAGGCAGCTCCAAGCAGGGCAGCAAGCAGTGCACGAGCTGGACAAAGCAGATTTTGGAAATTTTATGGAATTCAGACAATCTAAGCATGATCCAAAGAGCTGAAGGGTCTTTTCCTAGATCACACAATAGCACCTTGGCAGGGCTGCTCCCAGCCTGGCCCCCAGCCAGCAGCACCTCCTGGGGAAGTGGACAGGAGAGGGAGTTCTCAGCTGCAGGAATATTTTATTTCTTTCTGCCTCGAGCTTCCAAATGAGGCTTGATAGCTAAAACAATTGAAAACGTTTGCAATAAAATGAAAACAATACGTAATTGCATTGTTTTTTCGGCTGATCCCCGTGCCAAGAAGCAGCTTTGGGCAGGAAACCAGTTGTAAATTCGAGGAGGAAGAGAAGTGGGACTGCTCACGTGCCAAGAGAGGCTCCCTAAATTTAACAGTCCTGAACTCTGTGGAGGAAGAGCCAGCCCTGTCCAGCCCTACACTAAATTAAACCAAATAAAGTCAATGTAACACCTGTGGGATGGTACATAATCTTAAATCAAGGATAAATCCATAATAAAATGAAAGAGAAAGATATAATTGATAACACAGAGAGTCCAGGTGTGCATATCCATACCTGTATCTATACATCTATGTATCTCTATATCTATAATCAATATTTAGATATCTTTATCTATATTTTTTTATATATATATATCACAGCAATGATTTCAGCACCTCAGCTAGAAAAACAAACAAACAAAAACCCCTAAAACACTGAAAACCCCACTTTGCTGCTGTGTTCTCCCAGCAATAAGATAAGCTACAGGAAAGAGAATGTGGGAGCAGAGGCTTGATTGAAAGAGCAGTGCAGGGTGGGCTCTGGGGGGTTCCCAAAAAGGGGGTTCAGGGGGGGATTTTGGGGAGATTTTGGGGAGGTTTTGGGAAGGTGAAGGGCACCGTTGTCCAGAGATGGGACCGAAGGTGAATGAAGCCAGGACAGGAATTACAGATGAAGAGGGAACTATTTGAATGCTGTAAACACCAGGGAGGGAAAAGAATTATTTAGGGTGGTTCTGTGATATTTCTAGGAGTGATGGGATGCAGATAAGGAAGTGGAAAATGTAAGCTATTAAATAGGAAACATTTCCTGGCAGGGTGGACTAATGGACTGTGGAAAAGTCTTCTAAGGGAAGTGGCAGGAGCCGCTCAGACAATTAAAAGTGGTCTGGACAACGTGCCTGAGGGCATAATCATGCCTAAAACCATGGAGAAGTGCCTGGATATGACAAGGATCTTCCCTTCTTGCTTCGGAAAGAAAGCCCCAAAGCTCCGGGGAAGAAAGGCCCATTGTAATGCAGGGCTCCTATAGGCAGGGAGCCTCACATCCCTCTCAGATAAAATCCAAATGCAAATTTTCCTCCCCAGGGAAGGCTCCTCCTGAGCAGCACCCACACAAAGGATCCTGTTCAACGATGTTCCATTGCTGCCAATCAAAGAAATCCCAAAAAAACCCAACTGAAAACTCCTAATTCACCATAAACATGAACCCACTGTTTGCTCAAGCTTCCTGTAATGTTTAATTAGCTCATTCTTTAAGGTTTAACAGCTTCAAGGACATTTTCCTTAGGAAATGCTGAATTTATGTGCTGTTCTACTTCACTGGTACCAAATGTGATAAAGACTTGGTGGAAAACACAATCCTTATTCAGAGACACCAGGAACTTGGTGGAAAGATGCAAAAATCAGATACTAATTATTAAACACTCCAGAGTGCTGAATGTGAGGCAGCTGTAGCCACTGAAAGCTGGGATTTCAAAATTAAATTTCATTTTATTTAACTTTTTCTCCCCATCATTTTGATGCCCAGGCTGGAAGGTTTATGGTGTGCTCAAGTGTCATTTTACTCAGACGTGATTGAGACCCACAAGTTTATTTGAGACAACTTGCCAGACACCTGTCCAGGTGGTAAAAACCACCTGATTTCTTTGTTTGAGGAGGGTGGGACGTGGATTTGCCACGGAAAGGCTCCATAACCCCTTTCCATTCCCCCTCTGGCACACAGATCCAGCATCAGCACAATCTGGGGATAATTCCCCTTCCCTCTGTGGCTCTGTTTGATTTTTGTGGTTCCAGAAAAACCACAAAAAGAAGCTTAGAAGCTCCACAGCCTTGGAGCTGCTGTCCTGACTCCCAGCTGTGGCTCAGACCGCCTGGAAAATGGGATTTGCATTGGAGAAATGCTTTGGTTGCTTGTGAGACCTCCTGGAACTGCCCAGCCTGGAGCTCTCACCCACCACCTTCCCCCTCTGCTTCCCATCCCAAAGACTTCAGGAGCAAATCCGGGTTATTCCTGCTGGGCACCAGTTTTTTCACTCCTGAAGGTTCCTTCGTGTGTAAATTGCCCAGAAACTCCCAATCCCAGGCTGCTGGGATGGTTAAAGGTTGACACTGAGCCCCGAGCAGCTGCCAAAAACACACCTGGAGTCTTCCATCCGTGCAAAAAACACACGGGGAGCGCTCCCAGGCATGTGGAAATCAGCTCAGCCCGGCATTCTCCAGGCATTTATTGATTAAAATATGGATTTAGGCACTCGCTGCCATTCTGTGCTTGGAACTTGTGTTGTTTCCCAGTGGGGATGAGGAAAAGCTCGGTGCCACTGTCCTGGAAGGAAAAAAAAATACAACAATCAGTGCTGGCAAGTGAAGTTCTGTGGCAAAAGGATAAAAGCTGGTCAAACCCAATTTTTGGATAACAACATAGAAATCCCCCCAGAAAAGCAAAGTTTGTTTTTCTTCTCAGTCTTGCTAAACTACAAAGCGAGGCAACATTTTCTGTAGTTTTCAGCAGAAATTTCGTTTTTGTGAAAGATAAAACAAAACTGTCATTTTTTTAAGGTTGTATTAATTGCCACAAGGTCTCCCTCTGTGTCACAGCTGCTCAGGTTTTATAACAATTCTCTATTTATAACTTCTAAATCCTTAATAGATGGATGTATTGTTATGCCACTGATATCACCATCAAGGTGTTAAAAGCCTTCCAGGAGGTGTGTTATAAATTACAAATTAAGGTAGTTACCAGTCAAGTGACAGGGCTCCTCCATAATTATCCTTAAAATTGATTAGCCATTTATTAAAATGTCTATAATTTACTAATCACAAGCAAACAGAAGGTGTGGTATTAATCATCATTATAAGAGGGTTTGAATTGTTATGGATTGAAGTTAAATAGCCAAAGAGATTTATCCCTGCCAAAGTCAATTTAAAGTTTAGAATAAATAAAGAGCCACTGAAGCAACTGGGGATAAACAAAACAGCCTCTACTTTCCTAAGTAGACAAACACATAAAGTTAAATCAGCTCTTGTCCTCTGAATTTTGTATTTCTCTTGACAATGGAAAAGTGGAATTCAGATGTTCTGCCGTGGGATGGGTCGCAGCTGAGCTAGAGCAGGTCCTGCAGGAAGTGAGATCCTTCACTTCTCAGAATTCCTCACCAAGTAACCTTCAAAGGAGTTCCTGAACAGCCTGAGATAAGTCCTCTTGCATAAGTGAATTTACAAGTCTGTGAAAGGCTGGCAAGTGCAGAGCTGATAAAAGGAAATTTACTTTAACACCTCGTATATTCAAATGCGCAACGTATATTCCAACTTTTGCCTCAAGAAGCTGAGGAAGCCAAGGTTTGAAAATCAAATTCTTTGGGACTGCATCCCATCCAGAATTCTGATGATCCAGAGTCCTAAAGATTTCTGCCAGCACTGGTTCTGGGGGAGAATTCATGGCTATAAAATGGTTTATGAGAGATCAGGAGGAGATCTAGAGAGGGCAGGGCTGCCAATCCATTTCCCTGCTGCTTTTGCGGGGCAGAATTTGTACAGATTTTCATTCACCTGATTTATTTATTGTTTTTTAGTGGGCCACTGGTGCTATCGGTCCCAGAAGTGTGAGCAGCCACAGTGCAAAGGTACTGCCAAGCAATTTGTTTTTCCAGTCACATTGGTGACTCTTCTGCTTTGCAAAGGGGCTGCTGAGAGAAATAATGCAAAAAAAATCACAGAACTCAGCCTTTAAAGCATCGTGGTCACGTTATCTGTGAGCAGGGTACTCTGAAGTCCTCGGTGTTTGTGGTAACTGCTCATTTCGTGTCGACCAAGGATAATGCAGAAATGCATAAATAAATGTAAAAATGTAAATGTACAAATGTAAAAACCACCCCAGAAGTTGGGGTGATGTCTCAAATGCCCCAGTTTGGTTGGGTGGTTTGGCTTTCACAAGGATTTGCTGTCTAGAGGGGAAAAAAAACCAAAATAAAACATTTTCTTCATCCATGCCCAGATCCTCTCCAGTGGCATCAGATAAACGCGGTGTGCAAAGGGAACAGACAGTCCCCTGTCAACATCGTCACCCGAAATGTGGTTCATGACAAGAGGCTCAAGCCCCTGACTTTTGAAGGGTATGATGTGAAGGGCTCTGCCAAGTGGAACGTGGTAAACAATGGCCACACAGGCAAGTACTGCCCAGCCTGCTCCTGGGGGATGGGTTTGGCCTTTCCCTGGGGCACAGATGAGATCCCTCTGGGCCACAAGTGAAACTCCCAGAACATTTTTGGCGTCAAAATTTTCTCGGGAAGTTTGCGGGAATTGCGAAGTTTTGGGGTTGTGGAGGTGGTTCTTGAACCCTCAGCAGGAATTTCTGTGCCGAAACAGAGCTGGAGGTGTCACAGGAGATCGAAACCAAAACCCCCTCAACCCAAACAGAGGCCAGGACTGGGGGCAGGTGGGCAGGACAACAATTTGGGCAGAATTTCATCATTTTCTGCTGAAACCACTTCATTCCTGGGCTGCTCCTTTCCAACTGTTGCCTCTGCACAAAGAATCCTGCTGGAGAAAAGCCTCATGTGGGAAAGTCATTCACAGTGTTGTGTGTTATTAGTTCTTTAAATAATGAGCTATATTCTTCTCAGATTCAGACCTATTTTCTCAGCACACAGAAGTTATCTGATGTTGATCAGCTACTTAGTGAATCAGTAAACCGTGAATCAATTAACAGTAATTTCAAACTGTTCCACTTCCTCCCCCTTCCTTCTCAATACTGAGGATGCTGCTCCAAAAAATTTATGTTCAATTACTTCGACTTTAAAAATAAACCTGTGGTCTAATTTTATTTATTTATTTTTTTAAAGTTACGTGTAGGTGTTCTTAAAATCCTGGATGGGTTGTTCTGACTGCCAAATCCTCAAAGCAAGTGGCAAATATTTCCTGATTTAAAAGGGAAAGGTGGGAAGGCAGCTGGGGAGATTTTTACAGCCAATTTCAATTTCCAGCTAATTTCAAATATTGCTATCGTGGCAGACCACAAGAAAAAGGAATGTTTTGACTTTTCACTAATACATGGATTGATGACTTTCCCATTACAGGGTGATACTCCAGGATGCCCAATTACAGTCCCTTTTACATCAAAATTAATATTTATAAGGATTGCTCTGAACTCTCATCTTCCCCAGCTGTGCATGAGGATTAGGAGTTTAATCCGGGCTTTTAAAATCTCTTCCTTCTGAGGGCAACCAATTCCTGTGCTAAATGAGGAGGTTGTTGATGAAATTAGCTGCAATTAGAGGCTGCAGGTGAGATTAGACCCTCCTGGTTATGTTCCATGATGGGCACATAGCAAAGGTCGCTGTCTCAAAGGTCTTAAACTAAATAAACAAAGCCCACAAAGACATCTGACTCATCCATTTACAGATTAAAAAGCAAAGGAACTAAATGACTCATGCACTCTCCAAGTTCATTTGGAATTCAGAACAAAAATGAAATCTCTGGGGCTGCAATCCAGAATTTTCCTCTGGGGCTGCAATCCAGATTTTTCCTATGCAAAGAAAAGTGCTGTGCTTAACGTGGGGGTCGTAAAAAGTAAAATTTTAAAATACATCTCAAATATGTATGATTTAGGCTTCAATTGCAGCACTACTCTAAATTAAAATAGAATATCTTTAAACCCTGCCCAAAGGAAATGTCACACTGCAGACAACAGGAGATTAAAATGATGGTTAAAAGTCAAATAAACTGGAATCAAATTTACTTTGATAGAGGGTGTTTTTAGAAAAAAATGAAGGAATATAGGGTCTTCTGAGAGGTATAAGAAACTCTGACTCTAGAAGTCACAATGGCTATAATTAATCTCAAATTAAACTCAGCTATGATTTTGTAAGAGTTCAGTTTCTGCAAAGCAGAATTTCTGGAACACTCAGTCTGAAAAGCCAAGTGAGAACTTGAAGTTAAATTTGAATCTCAAGAACATCTCTGCTCTCACATACTGTTAATGTAGGATCTGCTCTTCTCCTTTGGAACCATTTCTGGTTTTTTCTCCAGTTAAAGTGACACTAGATGCATCCCCTAAAGTCGCAGGAGGAGGCCTGGGGAGAAAATACAAGGCAATAGAATTCCATTTGCACTGGGGAGTCCCAGATGAGCCACAAAGCATCCCTGGCTCAGAGCACAGCATAGATGGAGAGAAATACCCCATGGAGGTAGGTGCCATTGTGGATTTCACTCCAGAGCTCTGGAATTTTGAGATCTTGCTCACAAAAACTCTCAGCTAGTTCCCCACGGGAGGTCTGAGGGTGGAAATAATTGCCCTTGGCTGTTGTGTTCCAGCTTCACGTCGTCCACATAAGAGACGATGTTCCAGATGTGACAGAAGCCAAGAAAACTACAGATGGAATTGCTGTGTTGGCCTTCTTTGTAAAGGTAGGCAGTGAAATGTTCAATTGCCCCTCTCAAATCTCAGCCAGCAGTTTGGCTGAAGGATTGTTTATGCCAATATTTTATGTTTGTGTCAAAGTTACAGTAGCCCAGGACTTTAACTTCCCTGTCTTCTGAGGGCATTCTGCCAGCACTGAGTTCCTCTACCCTTTTCTACATCCTGCTTGCTGTGATTTTTTCTTGTGGCCCTTTTCTATTTTATTCACCACTGATAAAAAGCAACTGCCTGTAGAGAAATACTCAATGTGGAATGAAAATATTTCCCTTTCAGGCTGACAAAGAAAATAAAAACTACGCAACTCTATTGAATGAATTAGAGAATATTAAATACAAAGGTAAGACTCTCATGCCAGGGGTTTCACAAGCTGTGTGGGGTGAGGACAAACGTGGGCAAAACCTGCAGCCACGAGCATTACAAGGGATTTTCCTCCACGGTTTTTCCAGGGCAAGAAGCAAAGGTGGATCCTTTGCCACTGAGTTCTCTTCTCCCACCTGAGGAAGACCTTGGGAGGTACTATCGCTACGAAGGGTCCCTCACCAGCCCTGACTGCTACGAGGGCGTCACCTGGACGATATTTGAGAAGCCAGTTGAGCTCAGCCTGTCCCAGGTGAGTGCAGAGGGACAGCCGGGAGGTTCTGTGCCGTGTGCCCCGGGCTGCCCGCAGGGTGACACCTCCCTGCCTTGCTCCCCACACACACACACACACACACACTTGGCTGCAGCCTAAACCTGCTCCCGGCACCAGCTGATTGACCCCATTAAATCATCCCTCAGAAAATGGCAAGAAAGGGGCAGGAAGGGGAAATGACGGCGTGAGGAGAAAGCCAAGAAACCCCCCAAGCCCAGCTTCGTCAGCAGCACTTCCACTGCTGCCACCTGCTCCCTCCCCAGCTCCACGGCTGTTCTCCCTTTGCCAGGACAGCACACAGCCATTCCAAACCCACCCTGGGCCCATCAGCATCAGCGTTAAGGAGCCCATTCCTGATCTGCAGGCAGGAAGAGGAGGTGGAATCAGGAGCTCTGGGAAAGCACAGGTTGTACAGAGATCGCACGGCTCGGCCCAGAGCCAGAGCCTGGATTTCAGCTCCGAGCTCCCGGTGTGCTCTGGTGTTCTCCCAGTGCCCCCAGCTCAGGACAGTGTCACAGAGCAGCCAGGAACCCAACAAGGACAGAATTCCTGGAGCTCCTGCCCCGTGTCACCGTGACGTGGTGTCCGGGCCCAGGGCCGCGTGCGTCAGGAGCTCTGGGGGAGCCGATCCTTGGGCTGCACAAAGCATTTGGCTCCCACACAAAGGAAGTGCCCGTGATTTCCAAGGCTGGAAGGAGCCATCTCTTGGTGACCTCTCCAGTGGCCTCTGCCAAGGCGCTTCCTGTGAGGTTCCGCGTTCGTTAAACCCTCAAGTTCAAAACCAGAGCGAGGCAGAGCGGGTTTGCAGCACAACAGCCCCTGGAGCTCTCTGGCAAAAAGATTTAACCCCCTGTTGTGTTTTGCAGCTTTCCCAGTTCACAGTGCTGCACTTTGATGGGAAGAACTCCACTCCCATGATGGAGAATTTCCGGCCAGTGCAGCCCCTGAACGAGCGCAAGGTGCTCTGGTCGGGCGCCAGCATCGCCCTGCCCACGGCAAAGCTGCTGCTGCTGCCCCTGGCTCTGACCTGCACCCTCAGCTCTCTGTCCCCCTGAGCCTCCCCCACCCTATTCAACATCCTGACCCCTTATTTCTTGTTACTTCTGCTGTTCTTTGTCTCAGCCTCTCATGAATTGCGTCCCAATGCAGAATAGCCTTGTCCTCCTCCAGACATTAACCAAGGACTTGTGCTGCTCTGGTGAAGCCCAAACCACCAGAACCCAAAGGAACTGGGAGATAAAGTGATGGAAATTAAATTTTAAAAGCCAATGCACTTAGAGAAAGCGTTAGTCTGGATTATCTTGTAGCTTTAAGCCAGCACTGGAAGGAGCTACACAGTGAACCTTGGAGAGGAATCTGTTCTTAAGTGCCTGTGAAGGGGCTGTTTTGGAGCATGTTTACATTCAACACTGCAAACCTGGCAGTGAAGTTGGAGTAATTCCTACAATCCCACACTGTCCTACCCAAAGGTACAACACAGAGCAAAGATAAAATGCTCACACACAACCCAGCAGCATCTGGCTCATCTCCTCCAGGGAAGGGCACTCACCCAACACATAAATCCTCCTCCTTCCTTCAGAATATCTCAGTTAATTTCAGATAAGAACACTGGACTCCTTCCAGCCCATCTCCTGCTGGGGGCTAGCAGGTTCCTCTGTTATTTATTCATCCTTCTCTGGGATGCCATGGTCATTGTGATGTGCTGGGAAGCAACAGGGAGCCTCATCCCCACAGACCAGAGGCACATCTGTGGAAATTCCCTCTCTTTGGAGGGCTGCTTTTGAAGCAGGAGACTCTGATGATCCTTTGTAGTTATTATTTGCCTAATAAAATAGGACAGCTCAAGAAATGGCGCTTTCTTATATATAAATATATATATATATATATATATTCCTTTTATATAAATAAATTTTTTATAGTAGCGTACCTGCAATATTCACATACAGGCAAGATTCATAGTTTTTTCCAAGAAGATTGTGGTTTGAACCTTCAGATCTCACCCAATTACTTATAAAAAACACCTTGGGAAATGGGGTTTCCTTATATTATTGCAGTTCTCTTTCTGAAGAGGGACATAACATTTCTCTTTGGCTAATGCCGTGTCACACGTTACAGCTTCTTTTAGGATCTGAGATTTTGGCCACACCAAAATAGGATTTCATATTAGCAGATTTGTATTTTTTTCCTTTTAAGGGCAATGTTTGCAGAGACGACTTTATATATTTTCAGGAAAATCCTGGTGGTGAGAGCAACCACAGCTCACCAAAGGAGAGGTGAAATTATTTTCATATTAATCAATCCGTAAAGCTTTATAAAAACCCCCACATGGGAAAACAAATAAACCTATTTAAGTTTAAAGGAAAGATTAATACTTTAACTGTATTTTTATGTAACTGAAAATCTTTGGAGGAGCAAACAGAAATGAAATATTAAAGGTGAACAACAGACCTATATTTGAATTGTTCTGAGTTTTCATTTATTTTGTCCTTGCTGAAGGGGAATCCACAAACTCTTTCAGAAGAGGAATGTGACTTCCCCCCCACACCTCGTTTTGTTCACAATATTTAGGGTTGGATTTAGGGCTGGGCTTGCATTTTTGGGGCAGGGGGCAGGGATTTGCAGTATCTTGGGATGTTTCTACTGTCAGCAGAGTTCTGGGGCTCTATTTCACACCCTCGGGGTGTTCTCTGCACTCAGCAGATTCCTGGAGTCTGGCACCTTGCCCAGGTGTGCAGAATTGGTGCCCAACCCCAGCCAGCTCCCAGGACAGGGACCTCCTGTTTTAAAAGCAGTGATGGGAACATTCCTTGGGATACCTGAGAAATGTCCTTTGCACTGACCAAGCTGGGCAAGAGTCACCATCCCTTTCCGTCAGATTATTTCCTCAATTCTCATTTCACAGGCAGCTGTCTAAGGGGGGAGTGGAATAAAACCTGCAGGATCTGGCTCAGCTGTCATTTATTGCTAATAATAAATGATAAATCACAGGGCACAGCCACTAATTACAATGTGGAAGCATCTTATTTACTATGAAACAGATTAAAAGAGAACTAAAAGGAAGAAAAAATCTGCTGGGAAGAGGATGAGTCTTATCTAAGAGCTCTTCAGCACCAATCCCAGTGTGAATAAAACCTCCCTGGACAAGGATCAGTGTTTTTACTGAGTGGCTCTGTGCTGTGGCAATAAGAAAAAGGGAAATGCTCCATCTGCTCCTGTCACAGGGACTGGGACCAGACTGTGGTCAAAGCCCCTCTCTGCACCCAGGTTCTGCTCTGGGGCAGGGGGTGACAAGGACAGGACCAGCATCAATGCAGGGAATAAACAAAAACCCCCAGCAAAAGCTGTTCCCAGGAAAAAGCAGGAAAAGACAAGAAGGCTTTGAGTGGGACAACTGATTTGCTTTGTGAGGATGGTTATGGAAAAGCAATTTGCTGTTCCACAGGTAACTTGAGGTGCTGGTTTTCAGGAATTTTGTCTCGGCGACGTTTGGCATGAAATTCTTTTATTGTGAAGACACCAGGAAATGACAGTCAGTCCTGAAGGACAAATAGCCAAGGCATGATACAGGAAAGGGTGGGGGGAGGAACAGAAGCATTTGGAAGGATCCAGCAAGAACATTATTTTCCCATGTCCAGAAGGGCTAGCACAGAACTGCACTGATACATTTCACATATGTTGGAGCCAGAGCTGATGACTGTGGGGCTGAAGCTGCAGTCCCAGGGAAAATGAAACAACACTGGCAATTAAAATTTGGGTTAAAACAAATAAATGGGTTTGTACAACCCATCCAAAAGCAATACTTTCCCAGCTTTGGGCTGCACCTTGGCTGGAGAGCAGCCTCCAGAGGTGTGAGAGGTGAAGGCACTGCTCCTTCCCAGTCATCAGGGGAGCAGAGGGTGACAGCAGGGGCAGGCACAAAAAAACTCCTAATACAATGTGTTTTCAGCAAAACATTTTTCTCAGGAAGCACAAAGAGACAAGGAAACCAAACCATTACTCACAAGAAATGTATTTACATTACCCACAAAGAATTCTGATGAATTTGGCAACTCCACTTACAGTCAGATCCTCCTGTGACAAAACACTAGCTCAAAATGAACTGGACAAAATTAGTTTTCTGTGACTGCTGGGAGAGAAGGATAAAGGTTTTTTCCTTTGTCCTTTCCTTCCCCTCCCATCCAGATGTGGGTTCCACAAGGAAAAGAGCATTTGCCCGTACCCTCCCCACTAAAAATGTGTCACACAGCAAATCCATGTAAAAAATCCATTCATCTACCTGTAGTTTAAAAAAAAAAAAAAAAAAAAAGGATACAGAGAAGCCTATCAAACTCCCCAGGCTGCTTTTAGAGTTTAATAAGTGTGGAGTTTAATAAATACCAGGTGTAACACCAACCCCCTCTGCTCCAGAGACAGGGATCCCATTGCCCAGGAGCAATACCCAAAAAAACACAGCTGGACTCAGTGATCTTATAGGTTTCTTCCAACCTAAGTGGTTCTATTATTCTACAAATGATTCTATGAAAAATGATTACTCTTGGAGACGGAAGGCTCGTTTTGATAGAGTTAAAAGTGGACTTGGTGATTTTCTTCCACAAAGCACTAAAATGAGATGGGACTTAAAAACTCTGCAATGACAGAAAAACAGCCTGGGAACTGAAGTGGCTGTGGGAAATGCTTTCTTTGTGTGGGAGAATATCATATGCAAATTGGATTTTTAAAGGAAGGAAATGTAGGATTTACTGGTAAATTATGTGTACCTGTGGAAAAGGCAATGAAACCCCAGCTGGAGGCACAGCAGGGCCACAGTGACCTCAGCCAGGACGCTTTTCCTTACTGATCTCCTCCAAACTCCTCCTGAACAGACACAGCTCCTTCAAGACAACTGCTGAGAATGGGAACATGCAGTTTCCATTATGAGGTTTAAATGCATTTCCTAAAAATAACCTGCTGTTTGGGGGTTTTAGTATCAGAAATAAATCCATATACACCGTTAAAACCTGATTATAATTAGTCACACAAGTAAAATTATGAGTGTAATTAACTACAGCGATTAATTGAAATGCCTTTGGCACATTATTTCCCTTCTTGCAGTTGAATGCAAATTGCATTTAAAGTTATATCATAAAGGGTATAAGATGGTAATCAATTGAGGTTATTTTATTACCTTTTTTACCTGTTAATATCTTCTGAAGTGATTTACACATCCAGTAACTCAAATTCAGTTTGATGTAAAAGAAACCCAAACAGCTGACACTGTTTTAATGAGTTTTGTTTTCCAACAACCCACTCCAAGCCATCTAAACTTTTCCCTGCTTTTCCTTTTTATTGCCTCACAAAACCATATTGGTTTCCATGGAGTGGAATCACCTTTAGAACGCCACCACCCTTCCCCTCCCCACCTCAGCAGAGCTCCTTGTTCCCAGCACAGAGATCTTGATGGATGAGTTTGCAGATTGGGGGTGGTTATGAAGAATTTATGAGAGAGAAAGAAAGGCAGAGAAGTTTTACATTTTGTTGACTGTGCTGATGTTGAGATTAAACTGTAAATAAATCATAGACAATCCCTATCAAGAGTGCAGTATCTTTGTAAGCTTACAATCATTGGGGTTTGTGGTACACGAAGCTCTCAGCTTTACACAAAACGCTTTTCTTACAGGCAGTAAAACATAATGGTTCATGTCCTGGAGCCCAGCAGCCACTGGGAAACGTAAGAATAATCCTGGCAGAGCAGCAGTGACCTCGCTGAGGAAAACAAAAGGAGTTTAAATCTTAAAAGAACAGAATAAAGAGAAAAAGTCAACTATGGAGGTGCTGAAGCTTCTCCAGCCCTGCCAGCTGAGACATGTGTGATGATGCTGCACGTTCTGCGCAGCCCTTCCTGCCAAACACACCTGAGAAAAGGAACATTCACCTCTCATTTCCATCTCCTCAGGGGATTTCAGGGCTCCAAACTCATTTCCATCTCCTCAGGGGATTTCAGGGCTCCAAACCATCGGCACAGCTCAGACATTTTGGGGATTGGGAGCTGGGATGGTCCCAGGAATGTGGAGAGAGCTCAGTCCACAGAGCAGGCTGGGAGCAGAAAAACTACCAAGGCTCCACTTACTCCAAGGGCTTTACAACCCTTTTTTTAAAAACAATTTTGTTTTTGGATTGGCAGGAACACGATGTCTTATCCTGCAGAAGGGCTCTGGTGTCACACCGGCCCCCCCAGAGCGGGTTCCTGTTGTCCCTCCTTCATGTGGCAGCGCCAGGCCATGGACGGGAAATTGGGGTTTATGATCCCACAGATACGAGGGCACATCTGATGGATCCAGATTGATTTATTCTAAAACAAAAAAAAGGCCATCAAAGCTCCTAAAGCACAAACATTCAGATTACGCTTTAAAAAATCCGGTGCAATTCCTGCCGCAGCCACGGGGCTGTTTCGGGACTGTGGCAGTGAAGGCCTGGTGGGAGCACGGGCACTCCACAGGCCACGATTTACATATGCCTCAGGTAAAGTTTATTAAAAAGCAAAATCGTGCCCGTGTGTTCCCCAAGGAGCACTAAAGGACATCAGGAAGGATTCAGCCTCAGGAAAGAGGCAGCACTTTGGTGAAAACACATGAGGAGTTCCCAGAAGGGCTGTGGGACACGGGATCACATAATCACCACAGAGTTAAATTCATTTACAGAAGAAAACCAGCGTGCACAGCAAGATATAGAAGATGGAATTCATTTCCTCTCCTCCCAGCCCTTGCTCCTTTTTTTTCTCTTTTGTTTAAAAAAGAATCCCCACCAATGACCGCAACATTCAGCTTTACCAGCTGCTCACAGGATCAAACCAGGGATGCAAGACAGGCTGGAGTGCACAGCCAGGGAAAATCCAGGCACACGAGGAAACTGCAAAGATTGGATGGAAACAACAATATTCTGAAATAAAAATTCAATTAGGACCCTGCCAAAAGAAATAAAATCCCAGCTAGGGCTCAGCGCAACTGCAGAAATTAAAGCTAATACAAGTGACCTGCCCACAGCACACTCAGCTTTTGGTGTTCCAGACATTTGGGGAATCTTAAGCAGTAAAATTGCTGGAAAGTTTTTGGTGCAGCTTGCAAGGGACTGTCAGCATCAGTCGGGTGAGCTCCAGGAGAGATTCTGCAGGGAAATTATTGTGGCAAAGGCAGCTGAGAAAGGTTGAAGGACTGGGGATGGTGCAGGTTGTTGCTGATGGGACAGCACAGCCAGCCAAAATAAATCTGGCCCCCTCTGCAAGCAGTCTTCCTCAAATGCCTTCCTTTGGAGTAATCTTTTATTTTAAGCAAAATACACAAACAAAAGAAAATAGTGTCAGCTTTACTATTGTATGCATGAATCAAAAATATCCACTATAATCATCACCAAAATAAATTATTTTCCCGGTCTGAAATGGTGGGAAACTGCAGTTTTCCTTTCATTCAAGTGGAGGA